GGAACAGGGACAGGGAGACACCTGGGAACAGGGACAGGGAGACACCTAGGAATGGGGCTCGGAGAGAGGGGGACAGGTGAGACACCTGGGAACAGGACAGGGAGAGGGGGAAACAAGTGAGATGCCCGGGAACAGGGACAGGGAGACACTCGGGAACAGGGACAGGGAGACACCCGGGAATGGGGCTCGGGAGAGGGGGGGACAGGTGAGACAACTGGAAATGGAGATCAGGAGAAGGGACAGATGACCCCACTGGGAAAGGGGCTCAGGAAAGGCCAATGATCCCACTGGGAAGGGGACTCAGGACCAGCCCCCCCTCAGCACCAGAGATGGGAGCGAGCTCAGGGAGCAACCCCTCATCCCCCCCTCCCCTCTGAAGCTCCAGCCCCCCTTCCCAGGGCTGCAGTCCCCCCAGAGCCCCCAGCTCACCTGGAAGTCGGGCAGGCTGGAGCCAATCTGGTTGACATTGGGCAGGGAGCCGCTGTAGAACGGGCCCCGCCCGTGGGCCAGGCGCAGCTTCTGGGCCTGCAGCTGGGGGGCACGGGGACAGGGGGGACATGGGAGGGACGAGGGGGACATGGGGAGACATGGGGGGGGACATGGAGGACACATGGAGGGGTGGGAGGACATGGAGGGATGGGGAAGCATGGGGGGACGGGGGGGACATGGGGGGATGGGGGGATTGGGGAACAGGGGGGATAGGGGGACATGAGGGAGACATGGGAGAGACGTGAGGGGACATGGGGGACGGGGGATGGGGGAGACATGGAAGGGACATAGGGGACACATGGGGACACGTGGGAAGGATGTGGAGGACATAGGGGGGAGGGGGGGTCATGGGAAGGACATGGGAGGGATGGGAGAGACATGAGAGACACAGAGGGACATAGGGGACACATGGGAGGGATGGGGGGACATGGGAGGGACGTGGGAGACATGGGGGGGACATAGAGGGACACAGGGAACACAAGGGGGGGGACATACAGGGGCACGTCAGAGGGGGCTGCGCAGGGGGCTGGGGGGGTCAGAGCCCCCCAAATCCCCCCTCACACCCCCCTCCGGACACCCCAGGCCCCCCCCTTCCCCCACGGCATCACCCCCGAGGTGACAGTGACCCCGGGGAGCTCCAGAGTGGGAAGGAGGAGGGTCAGGAACCCACAAGGGATGGATGAGGGTCTGCTCATCCCACATCCCACATTACCGGAGTGGGGGGTGAGCCCCCCGGGGGGGGATCTGGGCTCTGCGGATCCCGAGGGATTTTCCAGCGGGATTTTCCAGTAGGCACCTCGTCCACACAAAGGCCAGCCCGGAGATCCCAGCCCAGAGCTCAAGGCCGGGGAAGGAGTCACGGCACAGCCGGAGATAAACGGGATCCCAGGGGCAGGGGCCTCATCCCGAGACAGGGAATGGGGAAGGAGAGATTCCTTGATCCCAAAGCACAAGGAAAGGGGGTTTCCCTGTTCCCAATCCACAGGGAAGGAGAGGTTCCCCCATCTCAATCCACACAAGTCGCCTTCCCTTCGGAGATGGGCAGATCCAAGCCCTGGACAAATCCCAGGGAAAGAGAAGCTGAAGCCCAAAAAAACCAGCTGGGAATTGGGAAACGCCAAATTCCTGAGCTTAAAACCACAGCGATCCAGATCCAGGCGTGAAAAAACAAGGAAAACCACCCAAAAAAAGCAGGAGCTTTAGGCAGCAGCTGGAGGGATTAGTGCCTGGGGCTTAAGGGCTCGGGGTCAGGATCCTGCTCCAGGATCCCACAGGGAGCCTGGAATCTGGGAATAGCTCAGGAATAGCTGGGAACAACTCTGGAAATCTCAGAGCAAAGCCTGGGGGGCTGTGGAGCCGCTCCTGGGGCTGCAGGGAACAGATCCCGGAGGAATCAGCCCAGGGAAGGAATTCCCTGAGGAATTGTCCCGGGAAGGGATTAGGGGCTGAGTTCCTGGAGGAGTCATTCCAGGAGGGATCAGGACAGTCCTGCTGCACATTAACCACTTGTTTGCTCTGCAAACACGGCCCGAGCCATTCCCAAAACCCCTGCGGATGGAAGCGTGGGGGAGGCTCCAGCCTACTCCTAAACTCTCCTGCAATGGTCCAGGCCATTCCCAAACTCTCCTGGCATGCACAAGAGACTCCAGCCCATTCCCAAACTCTCCTGGGATGACACAAAACTCCAGCTCATTCTCAAATTCTCTTGAGATGCTCCAGCCCATTCCCAAACTCTCCAGAGATGCACAGAGGAGGCCCTCATTCCCAAAATCCCTGCAGACAGAAGCACAGCAGAGGCTCCAGCCCATTCCCAAACTCTCCTGGGATGTCCCCATCACCGCAGCAGTGACATCCCAGATCTCAGATCCCCTCAGAGCCAGGGCTCTCCTACCCCAAAATTCCCAGGTTTTAAAGCACTGCTGGCTTTTCCCTGGGTTTTCTCTTCCCTGCCCCCTGGAAGAGTCTGTCCATGTCTCCCTGGATCCCGCACTCCACCCTCTCACTCATCCATCCGAAGGCTCCGCCAGGAATGACCAAAACGCACCAAATCCCGGGATAACAGACACACAATTCCCAACCGGCTCCTCCTGAGGCTTCCCCTGCCTGAGAAACCACGTCCTGGAGCATTCCTAGCCTTCCCAATCTCCCAAGGTCCCTCCCAGCAGCCCATGGAGACAACATTCCACCTTCCTGGAGCTGCTGGGTGGGAGTTATCCCAGATGCTGTCCCAAATCCCATCCCAGCTCTGATCCCAGATCCCATCCTGGATCCCATCCCATATCCCAACACTGCAATTCCCAGATTCCAACCAGGCTCAATCTCAGCATCTCCTAGGATGCAGCATCCCCAGGATTCCACAGGATCCCACAGGATCCAGGGAGGATCCCGAGTGTCTCCAGGGACAGGGACAGACCCTGGAGCCCTCTGGAGGGGACAGCAGGTCCCGGATCTGTGGGATCAGGGATCCTCTTCCCATCCCAATTCCAGGACCTGGGATCCCCCGTGAACCACTCTAACTCTCCGAAAAACCTTCCCATCTCCCCCAGACCCTTCTACCCCCCCCAAACTCTTCACAGCCCCCCTGGTCCCCTTCAACCTCCCCCTCCCCAAACCCTCACAGCTCCCCCGGGCCCCTTTAACCCCCTCCCCAAACCCTTCAGAGTCCCCCTGGTCCCCTCTAACCCCTCAAAAACCTTCCCATCCCCTCACGACCCCCAATCCCCCCCCAATTCTCCCCCCTCACTGCCCACAGCCCCCCCGGCCCCTCACGACCCCTCAGTCCCAGACCCCCCCGACCTCTCACGACCCCTCTGGCTCCACCAACCCCTCACCCCCGGCTCATCACGACCCTCCCCGTCCCCTCACGACCCCTCAGTAACCCCCATCATCCCCTCAGGGCCCTCCCGCCCCGCGGCGCATCCGGTAGGGCGGCCCGTCGCTCACCCGTGTGGAGCAGATCTCCATCATAACCTCCTCGAAGGCCGCGGTCTCCTCCGCCTGCCGCTGCTTCTGCAGCGCGATCTTCTCGCTGAACTTGCGCGGGTTCGAGGCCCCCGCGCCAGCCGAGGGCCCCGCGCCGGGCCCGGGCCCGGCCCCCGCGCCCGCCGCCGCCATCTTCCCCGCTCCGCCGCTCCGCCGCAGACGCAGCGCGGGGTGCGCCGGGACTTGAAGTTCGGCGGGCAGAGCCCGCAACGGGAAAGAAGAGAGTCAAGACTACAACTCCCAGAAACAAGGAAAGAGCGCCGCGGGGGGTGCCGGGGAATGAAGGCGCCGGGGTGCAGGGTACCCCGTAGAGAGGGAAGAGAGGACTGCGAGTCCCAGAGTGCACCGCGAAGGAAAAGGAACTGGGGCGGGGAAAGAAGAGGGGTCAGGAGAACGGGCGGGGCCCGGAGGGGCTCTGGAAAGGGGAGAAAAAGGGAATTAGAAAGGCACAGAAATGGGGACCAAGGGAACGGGGAAAAAGGGAAGGGTATGGGAATAAGGGAATCGGGAGAAAAAGGGAATGGGAAGAAACGGCAATGGCACTAGTTCGCTCGCAAGAGTGCTGTGCTGAAATTGGCTGTCCGATTGCCAAAATTGAATAGGGATGAAGATTTTTGTGTTTGTAACTTTACTAAAATAATAGGCTGTGATTTTAACTATACAATTCCAATAACTACTGGGCAATTAATTGAAAATGATTATTTGTTGCATCGTGATGTACCTAAATTACAAATAGGGATGGAAATCAGTCTCTTCCAGAAGATGCTTGAACATCCAGATATAGAAAAGATAGAACGAGCAGGAGAACACCATCGGTGGGATATTTTTCTGGGATACTCCCCTACGGCCTCTCAAGTGTTCCATTTCCTAATACATCCAATCTTAGTATCGGTGAGTGCCGTTGCATTGTTATCATTACTCAATTTATGGCTGTGGTATAAATTAAGTACCATAGTCAAAAGAGTGCAGATTATGAGTAATTAAGTAATTAATTATGAGTAATTAAGCACGAGCTGGCTTGTTCCCAACGTTAAATAAATATCTTGCCGCTTAAAGATACAAAAGTCTCTGAGCAGTTTTTTGGACCAGGTCTTTCGGCATCACAGTCCAGCTATTACCAAACACTGCCACTGTAACCCCTAAACCGCCACCCAGTGCCAGATCCGGACACCTCTTGAACACCTGCAGCAACGGTGACTCCACCACCTCCCTGGGCAACCTATTGCAATGTGTGACCACCCAATTTTTTCCTAATCTCTAATCCGAATCTCCCCAGTCTCTCGGTAAGGCTATTTCCCCCGGTCCTCACTGCAGGACAGCGGCTCTTTCCCGGTTCAAACCTCGGCACAGCCACCGAACCGGGCGCGGGTCCGTAGAAGCACTTCCTGATTCCCGTCACTACCTCCCTCTACATCCCCCGTCGCGAAGCACCCCGGGAGCCCGGGGGCTCAGCCCAGCACCGCGGGAGGGTCCCCGCATCCCCGGGGCTCCCTCCGGGCCCCCCCGCGCCTCGTTCCGGTACCGCCAGGCTCAGCCTTGTCCCGCAGCTCCCGCAGGTAGGACGCGGCCACGCCGCGCTGCCCCAGCCCGCGCCGAGCCGCCCCAGCCCGCGCCGAGCCGCCCCAGCCCGCGCCGCTTCAACCGGGGATTCCTGCCCTCTGCGAGCGGAGGAGCTGTGCGGGGAGAGGACTTCATCCATGTTAACTTAGGCAGTTAGACCTGCTGTTTCGTTGCTGGGCTCCCAAAGCAACCGACATCCTTTCCCGCAGGAAAGAAAGGCTCTAGCCTTTGTGAGTCAGGTGCAGTTTCAGGGCAGGGCTACGGCAAGCTAACAAAACCCTTTCCACGCGAACAGAAAGTTTTGCTACCTGTACCTGACACCCAAAAGCTATAGGCTTTCTTTCCGGGGGAAATGGCCCTAATTTTCTTACAAATTACAATCCCAAATACAAATTCTAATACTAAATCCAACACTAAGCATCATACCTGTTCTCATTAAGAGTCCTCTTCTCCGTCAGGCTCTTCACCCACCTTGATTATAAATGAGATGCAAACCATATGCTGCTGCTCCCAGAGCTTTTATACCCTCTGGGATTGGGCTCCCCCCTTTCCCCGGGGTCTCGTGGGAAGGGAGGTGGGCCCAGCCAGGGGTATATTAACCCCAGCCTTTGCTGAGGGGAGTCATCCAGCAGCTGAGCTTCAATGGGATAAGAGCTCTCCTGTTCTTTCATTGAATGGGACTTCTGGAGCTATTCCTGCTTTATTGAAGCATCAGCTTTGGCATCCAAAGAAGCAGAGCTGGATATGGCAATGAAGAGGATTACACTCAAATGCAGGGTTTTTAAATTTAATAATTTTGTGTGCTGTGTTGGTAAGGTGCTTTTGTAATTTGTTATGTTTTTTTCTTTTCCTTAGGAGCCTTGCATCTTTTGGGACCTCCTGATCATCTCAACTGCAGCTTGGCATTTTTCACAAGTGTTATC